CACTGGGTCATGCCCGCCGGGCTGTGAAGGCTCAGGGGCAGGGAAGTAGGAAACACAGCATTTGTCACACGCTGCCTTGGCGCTGCTTGCAGCACGGAGGTCGTAGCCTCTCCGCGCAGCCCTGCTGTTCCCAGCCACGCTGGGTTGTGCCACCAGGCTGAAGAGGCACCTGGGAAGGGAAGCAGGGCGGAGCCAGGAGCAGCTGGCGTTCCCTGCTACCCTGCTTCCCTCCCCCGGATGCCTCCAGCCTGCCCCACGCTGCCCTGATAGCGCACCCCCAGCACATGCTGCTGTTTGCAGCATGAAGCTCACAGCCTCTCTGTGCAGCACTTATTGTATCATGTGATTTCTGTTTGAATTTGTCGGGGGGGGGGGAGGCAGTAGAGTGAGACTGGTATGTATCCCTATTCATTACACATAATAATGGATTTGCTTTATGCAAATTCACTTTATACAAGGATTTTTTGGAACACAACCCTCGCATAGAGACAGGCCTGAGTGTAATGGTTTGTAAATCACCTTTCACTGTAGTCCCTTCTATAAAGGTCTCCTGATAATTACTGGTATTGCTTATCGGTAACATAGGAATTATCAGTTGCCCATATTAGCAAAACCAAATATTTTTACTCAACGCTCCGATGTCCTGAATAGCATTAGAGTCTCCTATTTTGGGTTTGTGACAAACATTCCTTCCTTGTAAAACTGAGTCTCACCAGAACACATTCTTCTAAGTCCATCTTTTCCAGTTCATGGCAATTCTAAACAAAGAAAAAAAACAAAACACACACAACACAGTGAAAGTCTGATCTTAAATTCTGTCACCCTTACTAAGACACCAAAACATGGAGAAAGAATGTGTATTTATCTGATTATTTTAGGCTGCGGTGGCCAACTTGTGACACATGTGGCATAAGCAGCTTGTGTGTGACATGCTGCAGCCTGGGAAGGCAGTACAGCAGCAGATAGGGGAGGAAGAGCCAGCCTATCAGGCCAGAAGCAGAAATCAAAGCAGCAGATCATGCAGGGGAAAGGGATGGGGGCAACACACAGGGAGGGCGTGGAGCTAATCTGTGGCACACCTGCCTAAACCGTTGGCCCCACGCTGTTCTAGACAGCAATGAAAACTTCTATTCTAACTGCTTGCTTCATTCTCTCGGCCTTTTCTGCCATATCTTTCTTAGGGATATAAAACTTGGCAAATGTGACCTTGCACTGGAAAGTGTAAAAGAAAACTAGTGTTTTTATAGTTACACAATCATAAACACTCCTTCAGCCTTAACGTTTGGCTCACAAGATGAGATTCAGCCTTCCCCCGCCCCATGCTCAAATAATGTCTGTGCAGGAAGATATTTTTGGGGGGAAAACTGGAACTCGTATTTACTATCTACCCATTAAAACCTACAGAACATAGACTCTGGGTTTTTGGCCCTCCAGATTTGCATACGCATGGATTCAATAGCTCAGTAGGAATCTGACCCAAATTAGAAAACCTGTTCATTGATTCAAGAGGTTTTGAATCAAGTCTTTTTCTTTGGTTCTTTGTGAAACCCCTCTATGTGGTTATATCAGTGTCAAAATAAGACATTTTATAAATCAATTTACACTAAGAGAGCAAATGTGCTTCTTTTTAATTACTTCCTGGAGACAACATAAAACAAGAACTCCCCACCCCCCATATAATAGCCTACACAATTCTGCGTCCCATCCGCCATGTGCTCACCTGCAAACAAAAAAAAAGGTAAGCTAAGCCTTGCAGCATGTCTTAAAGCAGGCCTGTCCAATGTCTGAATGGAGGGGGGACTCCATGCCCCAGAGGGCAGCGCTAGTGCGAGCTGTGGGCTTCTGGGCCACACCCATCTTGGCGTACCATGTGGGTGGGTAGTCTCATAAATGCACACTGCTGCACTATGTACATGGGCAACACCCCTGCTGCCACTGCTGCATTATGCAGGCAAGCAGCCACTGCACCATGTGGGCAAGCCCCCGCCACAACACCACCTGTACAGGAGGCCCCAACTCAGTGCTCTCACTGCATCAAGCCACAAATTCCCCTGGTGCCACGGGCTGTGCTGCCTCACCCCCTAGGGTGGGAACAGGAAGCAAAAGCTGAAGAAGGGAAGGGGAGCTTAGAGACCCTAGACACAGCAGCAGCTGGAGCAACAGGGAGAGTGATGGATGAGTAAGGAGCCTAGGGACCCCAGACATCAACCCCTCGCAAGCTGCCAGTTGACCAACCCTGCCTTATAAGAAGGCAGTAGCTAAGCTCCATGATTCTGACACAGAGTACCCTACCCACAGCTTCTACTGAAGGGACAGATGTGCTCATGTTTGTAACACCATAAATCCTATTTTCAAAAACAACAATGGAATATTATTTCAATGTATCCCAAATTGGCAAGTTGCTTAAGTCTCCATCTAACTTTAAGCATTAGAGAAATCCACTGAAATGAGTTTGTGCTTAGTCAGGCACTGTGTCTAACTATGTTGCTGAATGAGGTCTTACTCCCATATCTATAAAATATAAACCAGAAGGATGTATGTTTTCAAAAAATAAATGATATACAGAATAGTCTACTAAACAGGGATTCTCTGCTCTCTCAGAATATTTATTACTACTACTTGGGAAGCCAGTATATCTACTGTAGCTATAAACTGATTCTAAACATTGCATATGTTATAGCTGTGAAATAACTCTAAACATAACAAACCAAGGTCAATCAATTTAAATGCATTAATAAGAAAAAAAAAACTGAATATAGTCCAAGCTGGAGTTGTCCATAAATTCTAACAACTTAGATCAGTGCTTCTGGTTTTTGGCTGGTCACCACCTCTCCTGGCCTTCCTTCTACTCTATTTCCTTATCATTTTCTTCTCCCACACTCCTCCACCGCAGCATGATTGGAGTTGCACGGCAACAATGAAAACTAGATAACTCTATTTTTCAAAGTAATGCTTACCCGTGCTAAAAGTGTAAAACCTGCATCTGTTAAGTGGGAACATCTTGCAGCTTCCAAAATCCTGGAAAAATAATGGTTTTAAACGTTAAAAAATGCCTACTGATCAGTAATTGAAAGCAAATGCATTCCTTTGATTCAACTCCATGTTGTAATTTAAAACTCAGTATCAGGCTTGTAAATTCATTTTCATAATATTTAGCAATTACAAAAAAAAGTGAACCTGATTTCTCATTCGGCAAAGCAGAAAAATGTATCTAATACTCTGTGTTTTTATGACAGATTAAATTCAGTCCTCAATTCTTTTCAGCCTACACGGCAGACTCAAATCTAGTAAAAATTACAGGACTGTTGGTTGTAGCCAAGTTGATCTAAGGACATAGACAGACAAGGTTCTTTGGGTAAATCTGATAAACTTTTATTAGATCAACTAAAATAGTTAGAAAAATTCTTCTTTGGGTACAAACACCCCACATCTGTAGCTGCTTTGTGCTTGCCTGGGTGGGATGTTACAAATGTGTGTAAAAAATTTAAGATATTTATACTAGCCAAATGCTTCTCAAGAATGACGGGGCAGGGGGTTCAGGCGGGGACAGAGGCCTGCATCCGGCTCCCCCCAACCTTTGGAGCTGGGCTCGCTTTCCCCTCTCCCCAGCTGGGCCTGGCCAGGCCCGCCCAGCCCCCACCCCCACACCGTTTCGGGGCCAGGCATGCCCCCCTCACCCCACCTCCCTGCCACCATTTCAGGGCCTGGCCTGCCACCCCCAACCTCCCCATTGCCATTTCCCCCGCTCCGTCCCCTGTCCCCACCATCATGGTGGCATGCTGCCATCTCCTGTCCAAACGCTGAATTCACACTCTGATTGGTTATTTCCATCAGCCAACCCGAGTGTGAATAAAGCATTATGGACCAACAGACAAGCTACAGCTTTTATAATATTAGAATATTTTACAGTAAACTGTTGTAATTTTCAGATTGCCTCAGACCATGAATTTTCAATATATAACTTATTTGTGATATACAAGAAAATAAAAATATTACACGGAGGTGTATAGTCAGAAATAGTACAATAACAGCATACGTGAAAGGTTTTAGGGACATGCAGGTCAAGCAATCACGTCTAAATGTACCCCCAGTGTATAATGTTTGGAAGCCATTTCCCTATTTGGAAACCATTTTCTCCCAGTTACCAAAAAAGCAAGGAGACAAGTAATTGCCAAAGCCAAAAGTTAAGACACCAACCTAGCTACTTCAACTTTCAGAAAACAAGGAAACTGGAGAGACAAACGCACCACCTGTGAATCAATCCCTGCAGAGAGATGGGAGGAATTTAAAAATAGAAAGAAGGGAAACTACCACAAAAAGGATTACCAGTAAGCAGTTTTCCATTCTAGTACTTATGCTTTTTCCTCATCCTACTTCACACAACCTAATGTAGTGAGACCAGCAAGAACAGACTAGCACATAACGAAGAAAATATGTAAGTTCTCTCTAGTATAAAAACCTCTTTGCTCAGTAAGGCTGCATTGAACAAATATGGACAGCAACTCATGGGGTCCCTAGTTCCAAAATCTCTCATCTTGAGTCTTTCATCATTGGTAGTTATAAGCCTTTGATAAAATGACCATGGGTTTTGTGTGAAAATTATGCAGAATACCAAATACAAAGGAAACATGTTTTAGGTCTACCCATATGTCATCCTTTTTTCTGCCTAATAGTTTTCTGTCTTCAGGCCTTTGTACACACCACATTTTTTGCCTTTTCATGCACTGCAACTGCATGTCAGTTTGCACAAGCGGGATTTCTGGATGCTTTAAAAGACTTTCTTGTGCATTAAAAGTAAAACTCTTCAGACATAGTTTAGTTTGACTTGCTGGGAATTAAAGTATCACATCCATGGATTCACTGCGTGCAAACACAAAGGCACTCAAAGACGTGTAATGAGCCTCTTTGTCCATCAGATGGCTGCAACTTTTTTGTAGTTCACCCCTTCAAATTGCTTTTGCTTTTAAATTGCTTCCATTTTTTTTTCTTGTGAGGTTTGCTAGCTCCCTGCGGCACAGGCACAGGGCACGGGGTATGGGGTGGGGGGCCTCAGGCCAGGGGGGGCAGCACTGAACCATCCCATCCCACTCTCCTACGGCACCAGCTGGAAACTGGGCTTAATTAATTCGAAAGCCTAGTGCTTGCAAACACTGATGTGACACTCCAATATAAACAAATTTCAATTTGATAAACCTATTAATTTAATGAGAATTAAAGCCTGTGATGTGTACAGATGCCCACCCTTCAATTCAATTTATGTGTATGATCCCTATCTCAAGCACTGAACAGTAACCGGTACATAACAGTGGGTAAGAAAGGGAAAGAATGGCAAAACTCCCTCACATAAGTAAGTCATCCCAGAAATTAGAGATGCAGTGATTCAAAGGCAAGGGAAAAGGAGGTAAACTAACAGGAGTCGTGTTGTGTCAAATAGTGGGTCCATGATGCAGATTAGATTATATAAAACTGTGGCTTCCTGATCACAGATATTGTCCTGACCAGCATAAGAATGAGCAAGTCTAGGCTGTTTGTCTTGCTAGGGTCTATGGTTGTGGTAATTACACCAGATGAGTTTTGACTTTTTACATAAACTCCTTCTAGGTACTGACTGGAATTTTCTCTGCTTATTTCTTTGCATTCTGACCTGTTTTGGGGGTAAGCAGTTGCCTCGAATGATTATTGGAGTGCCAGACACCAAGGGGAATGGAATCAAATTAATACGAGCTATTGGTGAAGGTCTGAGGCTACTAAATTTAAGAAAATACTATTTGAGTTAACTAATTTTCATAGATTTCATACACATTAGGGCTGGAAAGGACCTTGGAAGATCGAGTCTAGCCCCCTGCCCCAGGGGCAGGAAGTCAGCGAGGGTCAAAGGATCCCAGCAAGATAGGCATCCAAATGTTTCTTAAAAGAGTCCAGAGTAGGTGCTTGCACCACTTCAAGAGGAAGTCTATTACAGGCCTTGGAGGCTCGGACAGTAAAGAAGTTTTTCCTTACGTCCAGCCTAAAATGGTCTTGGAGGAGTTTGTGACCATTTGAACTTGTCATCCCTCGGGGCGCTCTGGTGAACGGGCGTTCCCCCAGATCCTGATGTATACCCCTTATATACTTATAGGCAGCCACTAAGTCTCCCCTGAGCCTGCGCTTTTCCAGGCTGAAGAGTCCCATGGCTCTCAGTCTCTCATCATAAGACCTGTTCTCCTGCCCTTTGATCATGCGTGTGGCTCTCCTCTGGACTCTTTTCTCTTTCTTCCAAGGTAAGTGTCCTGGGTAGTCACACTCTTTAGAGACTACAGAGATAACAAGGTCCCTGTCTAGAGAACCTGAAGAAGAAAAATGAGGAAGCAAGCCAAGCACAAGATCTCAGGCAACATGACAAATTTCAGGGAGAACACGGTTATAACCCAACTTGAAAATAAATAGCATAGATGAAATTTGAATTTGTTACATGGCACCTATGACCACAAAGGGGGTGTCCTACGACTGTCTTGAAGTCTTTGCATTGCAGAAAAAACTGGGGGCTGCCTACTGTCACTTCCATATTACACTGGATTTATGATTAAAGTGATTCTTCAAATACATCATAATAAAAAGAATATATAGTCTCACATACACGGTCTGATATTTTTAAACAGCATGCTGCAATATTATGCATGCAGTCCTGAAATAAGTCTCGGTTGGGTAATATGATGGTAGTTTTGGAAGTATCAAAACAATTCAGTCTTCTAGGTTTTCAGAAATGTGTGGGAAAAAACACTACAATCTATAACAGCTATAGTCACATGCAATTGGATGAAAAATAATTTATTCCCTTTTTGGTTTAAATACCACTGAACACGATTTTACTCTGCAGAATGAGTGTGGCATATTCTACTAGAAGAACTGTGAAGTTGGCAATACTAAAACTTTCCTTCTCCTTCTCCTCAGGAAAGATTACATCCATTACTAAAATACCTCTCATTTCAAGGCACTTCTTTTTTTCTCTGAAGGGAATGTAAGACATATTTTACATAAAGACAGGCTTGTAATGGTAAACTGTAACACACTGGTTTCTGGGCTGTTGAGATTGCCTCACTAACTTTGGAAAAGAAAGTAAGCTGGAATGAGCTTGATATCCTAAGACAGGCATCAGAGGAGTTTGATAGGGCTCACCTCTACACCTGCTTCTAGGGAGCCTCAATGCCTCAGTCACTGAATCAGGGATAAGTATCACAAGGACCCTTTAGGATATTCCACTGCATATTATCAATCTTATATACAGTCATACTCAGCTTTCCAAAGCACTGTTTACCATTAAGCTTTCTCCATAAAGCTAGTTTAGAATAGTAGGCCAAGGTACTTATCACAGGGTCTGATGGTACAAAGTGATATCACAGAGCAACAGGACCTGAGATAATACTAGTCACCAACCATGACTGTTGTTGCCAGATAATTTCTGGATCCACTTGGAGCATCTCCTGAAGCCACTGTAGACCTGTTCTGTTCCAGGTAGGTGAGAGGGGAAAGGAGAGAGACTAAAAGCAACCTGAACTGTCACTTTGCAAAAAAGACGACAAGCATATCATGGAAGATAAATACATGGACACCTCCACAAGTCAGCTGAGCATAGCCAACATGCTTGCTTTTTTTTTTTTTTTTAAGGAAAAAAAAAGCTAAAGTAAGTATCAGCGCTTCGCTGAGGGACCAGAGAGTGGAAGGGACAGCTTTCCAAGTAAGGATCAAATATGGCAGCTGCTGAAGCAAAATCTGAGCCATTACAGACACATCTAGTTTCATAGTTTCATAGTAGTTAGGGGTCAGAAGGGACCCAAATAGATCATCTAGTCTGACCCCCAGCCACTGGCAGGAGCAAACACTGGGATCACATGACCACAGACAGGTGTTCATCCAAACTCTTTCTGAATTTACCCAAGGTAGGAGCGAGGACCACTTCCCTAGGAAGTTGGTTCCAGATCCTAGCCACCCTAACAGTGAAATAGTGCCTCCAAATCTCTAACCTGAACCTATTTTCCAGC